CCCCCCTCCCCCTCCCCTCCTCTCCCCCCTCATTTCTCTTTATGGCTGAATGATATTCCATTGTATGGAGAGACCATGTTTTGTTTACCCATTCGTCTGTTGTCTTGGTCATCTAGTGCTAATAACAGAAATACCACAAGTGGATGGCTTTAACAGAGAGAAGTTTTTTCTCTCACAGTCCGGTAGGCTACAAGTCCAAATTCTGGGCATCAGCTCCAGGAGAAGGCTTTCTGTCTCTGTTGGCTCTGGAGGAAGGTCCTTATGATGCCATCAGTCTTCCCTTGGTCTGGGAGCATCTCAGCGGGGGAACCTTAGGTCCAAAGGACGCGCTCTGCTCCTGGCACTGCTTTCTTGGTGGTGTGAGGTTCCCGTATGTCTCTGCTCACTTCTCTCTTTTATATCTCAAAAGAGATTGGTTTAAGCCACTATCTAATCTTGCAGACCTCATCAGTATAACTGCCACTAAATCCATCTTATTACATCGTAGTGACAGTGTTTACAACACATAAGGAAATCACATCAGATGACAAAATGGTACACAATCATACAATACTGGGAATCATGACCCAGCCAGGTTGACAGATATTTTGGGGGAACACAATTCAATCCATGACATCTGTTGATGGGCACTTGGGTTGTTTCCACTTTTCAGCTATTGTAAATAATGCTGCAATGAACATTCAGGTACAGCTTTGTCTTTTGAGTCGCTGCTTTCTGTTCTTTTGAGTGTATACCTAGTTGTGGAATCACTGGATTATATGGTGATTCTATGTTTAACTTTTTGAAGAACCACCAAACTGTTTCCCATAGCAGCGGTACTGTTTTACAGTTCTACCAGGAATGGATGAAGGTTCCAATTTCTCAACATCTGTTGCTTTCTCTTTTTTTAATCATAGCCATCTTAGTGAGTGTAAAGTGATTATCTCATTGTGGTTTTGATTTGCATTTCCCTGATGACTAATGACTGTGGCCATCTTTTCAAGTGCTTTTTGGCTGTTTGTATTTCTTCTTTGGTGAAATATTTGTTCAAGTCCTTTGCCCATTGTTTTGTTAAGTTCCCTGTCTTTTTGTTGTTAAGTTGTAAGAGTTCTTTATATATTCTGGACATTAAACCCTTATTAGATATATGGTTTCTAGAAATTTTCTCCTAGTCTGAAAGTTGTCTCTACTTTCTTGATAAAGTCTTTTGATAGACAAAAGGTTTTAATTTTGATGAGGTCCTATTTGTCTATTTCGTCTTTTGCTGCTTATGCATTCGGTGCCATATCTAAGAATTCATTGTCAAAAATTAGGTCCTGAAGCGTTACCCCTATGTTTTCTTCTGAGAATTTTATGTTTTCAGTTCTTACATTTAGGTCGTTGATCCATTTTGAGTTAGTTTTTGTATATGATATGAGGTATGGCTCATTCTTCTGCTTGTGGAGATTCAGTTGTCTCAGCACCATTTATTAAAGAGACTATTCTTTCCCCTTTGGATGGACTTAGCACCCTTGTCAAAAATCAATTGCCCATATATGTACAGGTTTATTTCTAGACCCTCAATTCTATTCCATTGGTCTATATGTCTATCATTCTACTAGTACCAGACTGTTTTGACTACTGTAGCTTAATAATGTTTTGAGATTGTCCTTCTTTTGCAAGATTGCTTTGGCTATTCAGGTCCCCTTGCAGTTCCATATAAATTTGTGGATTGGCTTTTCCATTTCTGCAAAGAGGGCTGTTAGAATTTTGATGGAAATTTTATTGAATCTATAGATTGTTTTAGGTAGTATTGACATCTTAACAATATTAAATCTTCTGATCTATAAGCACAGAATGTCGTTCCATTTATTAAGGTCTTCTTTAATGTCTTTCAGTAATGTTTTATAGTTTTCAGCATACAAGGCTTTCTTTGGTTAAATTTATTCCTAGCAGGTGGGAATTGTTTCCTTAATCTCCTTTTCAGATCACTCATTACTAATGTATAAAAACCCGACTGATTTTTGTGTGTTGACCTTGTATTCTGCAACTTTGCTGAATTCACTTATTAGTCCCTGGGTGGCACAAACGGTTAAGCACTCAACTAGTAACAGAAAGGTTGACAGTTCGAACCTACCCGGAGGCACCTCAGAAGACAGGCTTGGCGAGTCTGGATCTGAAAGGTCACAGCCTTGAACACCCTATTCTGCACACATAGGGTCACCAATAGTCAGAACTGATTTATTATGGCAATTGACAACAACAGCTTTCTTGTGGAATCTTTGGGGCCTTCTATGTCTAGGAACATGTTATCTGTGCAAAGGGATAGTTTTAATTCTTTCTTCCTGAAAACCTGTGGGTTTTTCTTAAATGCCCTTTATCAGGTTGAGGAATGTTCCCTCTATTCCTTGTTCATCAAGTGTTTTGATCATGAAAGAGTGTTGGATTTTATCGAATGCCTTTTTGCATCAGTTGAGATAATCATATGGTTCTTTTCTTTCATTCTGTTAATACAGTGTATTACATTGATTGATTGTCTTATGTTGAACCACCCTTGCATTCCTGGGATAAATCCCACTTGATCATGGTGTGTCATCTTTTTCATATGTTGTTGGGTTCTGTTTTCTAGTATTTCGTTGAGGATTTTTACATCTACATTCATCAAGAATATTGGTTTGTAGTTTTCTTGTGATGTCTTTATCTGACTTTGCTATCAGAGTAATGTTGGCCTCATGGACTGAGTTAGGAAATGTTCCATTATCTCCTAATTTTTCAGAAGAGTTTGAAAAGGACCGGTGTTAATTCTTCTTTAAATGTTTTATAGAATTGCCCAGTGAGGCCATCTAGTCCAGACTTTTCTTTGTTGGGAGATTTCTGGTTACCGATTCAATCTTTTCACTTGTTATAGTCCTGCTGATATTTTCTATTTCTTCTTGAATCTATTTAGGTAGCTTGTGTGTTTCTAGGAATTTGTCCATTTCTTCTAGTTTATGTAGTTTGTTGGCGTACAATTGTTCATAGCATTCTCTTATAACCCTTTTTATTTCTGTAAGGCTGGTAGTAATGTCTCTACTTTCATTTTGGATTTTAGTTAATTATATCCTCTCTCTTATTTTCTTTGTCAGTCTAGCTAAAAGTGTGTCAATTTAGTTGATCTTTTCAAATAAGCAACTTTTGGTTTCCTTGATCAAAAAGGCTGCTTATTGATTCAAATGATTGAAAAACCAGAAATAAAACTAGCTCCAGGGATGTCTGGATCCTGAGCTTCAAACAACTTAAGAATTTTATCTTCATCCCATTTCTTGACTTTGCTTCTAACTGTGGGGAATTCAGTATCAGTTACGAATGCTTTGAGCCACAAGTTACAAACTATTGTTCTACAGTGCCTTAAACAAATAGGCACTTATATTTCTAACATAACCAGAAAGGGAGCTGCGGGCTGTAGTTCAGTAACATCAGGATCAGCTTCTCTGTGAGTCTCTTGGCCTTTCCTCATTATTGTCCAGTGGCTGTCCCTAGTCCAAGTACATGTGTGCATTTCAGGTAGCAAGAAGGGGAGAAGGGAGGCATCAATTTATTTTATCAACAAAAAAATTCACGATTGAATCAGAATCTGTGGACGGGGCCCAGGTAGCAATATTTGTGAAAGCTCACCTAGGAATTATGATATACAGTCAGAAATGAGAGCTACTGTCTACATCAATCATTATCCATGTTCTAGGGCTGGGCATATTAATGCCCTGAACAAAATGGCAGTTCTGCAAGGAATAAGGGGATAGATTTGGATAAGGCAACTAACAGTGTCTGCCATAATTTCTTCTTCAAGCAGGCTCTCTCTTTGTGGTGGGAAGGCTGTCCCCAGCTCAGGCCTACATTCCACCAGTTTAGCAACCCTGGTGGAAATAGAAGTGTCTTTCTGAAGAGCTCCAGAAAAAGTCCTGTGGAAGATTTTCATTGGCTGAGCTTGGTTCACATGTTCATCCCTGAACCAAGTACAGTGTTCAGAGAGCACAATCATCCCATTGGCTAAGTTAGGTCATGGGCCCACCCCTGGGACTTGGGGGGAGTCAGTCCCACCCACATGGAATGAGAGTAGGGAGGGAGCTAACCTAAAGGAAATTTGGGGTGTGGAACCCAAACTAAGGAAAATGAATACCAAGCAGGTAAGGTAACAGACATCTGCATACATCCTCTTCAAACTGACTTTTGCCTCCATTCCCCCCCACCCCAGAGTTTCCTTGTCACAGGACATAGCCCCAGCCAGGACCTGGTGCTGAGGACGGGACCTTCACCAGGGGAAGTAAAAACCTACCAGATCAACAAAATTCCTGGAGGTGAGGAGCCTACCCCTGAGATTCTAGTCAAAGCAAATTAATCACCAAGAACTGTCAGATTTACTTCTAAAATATCTTCTGGGCCTTCCCAATCGTCTCCACCTCCATCACCATAGTCTGAGCCACCATCACCTCTTGCCAGACTAGTGCAGTATTCTCCTCCCTGGTTTTCCTGCTCCTAGTCCTTCCTTCATGCAATTCATTCTGAGCACATTAGCCAGACACGCATTTTCAAACACCCATCAGATGTTACACACCAGCCCCAAACCCCACAGAAGTTTGTAACATTCTTAGATAAAAATTTAAACTCCTTACCATGGCTTACAAGGTGCGTCATGACCTAGCCCCTGCCTGCTGGTCCTCCTTCACTCTACTCCAGCTACACTGTTCTCCTTTCTGTTCCTGGAACATGCTAAGGGTGTTCCAGATTCAGAGACTTTGCATTTGTAGTTCTGTCTGCATGAGTGCTCTTCCTCGAATGGTTGGTTTAGTCTCTCCATCCTTCAGGTGTCAGCCAACATGTAACCTTCCCTGACCATCACACCTAATATGGCCCCCAGTAATTTTAAATCACTTAATTTTTTTCATAGCACTAACTACAATATATACTTATCTTTGTTTACTCATTTATTTTCTGTTTCCTCCCACTAAAAAGTAATCTACAAGAAGGCAACAAACTTGTCTGCCTTTTGACAACTGTATCCCCATTGCCTGGAAATGATAGGTGCTCAAAAATATTTGTCTAATGAATAAATCGTATATGGTGGCATAAGTGGGATATAAGAGTAAAGACACAGAAACAAATGGGAACTTCAAGTACTGGAAATTCCCCTGTTCAGAAGCTCCCTGGATTGGGGGGTTGCAGGAATGGGGAAGGGAGAGTGCTAGGAGAGAGGAAGATGCCACTCGTCAAGTTTTCTTCCTCGTCCTTCCTTGCCCCTCCCCCAGGTGTGTCTCTGGAATCCTCTAACGTCTGCATGCCGGATCTGCCCCATCTCCTGGCCTTCCTATCAGCCAGCAGGTACAAGTTACCCACCATATGGGCCAAGAAGGGCCCTTCCCTAAGATATCCAATCCACACTGTGACTCCCTCTCATCTTTCCTCAGGGATGTTTTGCCCAGAAGACTGCTTTTGCCCCCTCCAACTCTAGGGCCTGGGAACGAACACACAGGTGAGGCATGGTCCTGCAGGGAGGTAGAGGCCACCTTTTCAGCCTCTTGGTCCAGGGGAATGGGACTTGGAGGACCAGACTACCAGGTTGGATGGAGTTGGGAGCCTGGACTTTGGGGTCCCTGGGGGAGGACGGCATAGAAACCAGACTTCTTGGTCTGTGAGAGGAGGGAGATGGGAGCCTAGACTCCTTGGTCTGAAGGAGACTAGGAGCCTAGATTCCTGGGTCCTGGGGGAGGAGAGGGCTGAGGGCCCAGACTCTTGGGTCTGAGGGAAGAGCGGGCAAGGGCCAAGTCTCAGTGCCACTCTAGTAATAAGGCTAGGAGCTAAGTGTCCTGATGTCCTGAAGGGACCAGGGCTGACCCCTAGGACACCTGGGAGGCCATCTCACTTTTGCTGGCCCCCAGTTCCTCCACAGACTGGCAGGGTCCAACTCGACGCCTCAGGAAAGGCCCTCTCTGTGGTCAATCAGCTCTACCTAGAGATGCACAAAGAGCAGAGGATGGAGCAGTCTCTCCCAGAGACCCCGCCAGAGACTGCCCAGAGAAACAGTCCAGGTTAGCCAGGCAGGGCCCTGAACCCGAGGGAGGAGGGAGCTGCAGCGTTGTTCTATGAGACCAAACCCTCTCCTCATATTCCAGCCCCCAGCAAGCCCACCCCTCACCGTGTCTCCTGGGTGGAAGGCCCACTAAGCCCAGAAGTACACTATCCTGGGCCAGCTCTGGCCACCCTGGTGGAGAAGGAGGAGGAAGTGGAGGACGCCTACAGAGATGAAGAGGAGGGACCTGAGGATGCCCTCACCCTTCATGTCCGGGCTTTGGCCAGGTCCTGGAGCAGCTATGTGGCCAGGCAGTTCCGACACCTTCAGGATCGCCTCACCTCGGCAGCAGGGAGCTCCCACAGGCCTGGGGACCCAGCCACAGAGCTGCTTCAGGATGTGCAGCACCTGCTTACTGACCTCCAGGAGTACCTAGTAAAAGATCCTGAAGTCAGGGCCGTCTTTGAGAGCAGGGGGCCTGGGGCGGCCCAGAAGGACCAGGATCTTGGTAATGAGGAGTTCCCTTGGAAGGGGACTTATGGCCACTTCCTGATCTCCCGCGGGTTCTGGTTTACCATCTCTTGGCCCTGTATATGTATTCACATTCAACTTCTTTCTCTGCAGTCTTGTGCATACCCATTTGCTTTTCCCCTCATG